CAACTGGGTGCCTGGGCAGGTGTGTTGGGGAGAGCTGGATGCTCAGCCAAGTGGCCTGGGCAGGTGTGTTGGGGGGAGCTGGGTGCTCAGCCAAGTGGGTTATGTGGGGGGGAGGGGGAGCTGTGTTGCCAGAGCACGTGGGTTAGGTGTGGATTGGAGCTAGGTGCCTGGGCATGTGGGTTAGGTGGGGGGGCTGGTGCCAAGGCTTGTGGGTTAGGTGTGGGGAGGAACTGAGTGCCAGGGCAGGTGGGTTAGGTGTGGGGGGGAGATGGGTGCCCAGGCAGTTGGGTTAGGTGGGGTTATGTGGGGGGGAGGGGGAGCTGTGTTGCCAGAGCACGTGGGTTAGGTGTGGATTGGAGCTAGGTGCCTGGGCATGTGGGTTAGGTGGGGGGGCTGGTGCCAAGGCTTGTGGGTTAGGTGTGGGGAGGAACTGAGTGCCAGGGCAGGTGGGTTAGGTGTGGGGGGGAGATGGGTGCCCAGGCAGTTGGGTTAGGTGGGGAGGGGAGCTCAGTACCTGGGGGGATAGGTGTGAGGGGAGCTCGGCACCTGAGCGGGTGGGTTATGTGGGAGGGAGCTGGATTCCTGGAGAGATATATATATAAGGAGCTTAATTTCTGGGAACAAGGTTATGTGTAATTGAACATAGGTGCATAGGGGTGTGTGCAGGAGTTATGTATAAAGGAAGCAGTTGCATGAGGCATTACATTTAAGAAATGTGAGTGCAATAGGGGACATCAATGGGCTAGTATCGTGCATAAATGAAAGGAGTGAGATATAATGGAAGGTGGCTGCTCCAAGGATAAAATGGGTATATCCTGGTTTAAATGTCACGTGAGAGAGAGTACAGAATGCAAGGATCTGACCTGGGTCAGTCAGATGGTGTCTTGAGAGTTTCATTTTGTTAGAGGGAGGTTTGGCATTTCCCCTTCTGCTTTTCTTTTTATTTATTAGTACATATTGTAGTAAGTTCAGAAGGCCCAAGCAGGATCCGTGCTTCAGTGTGCTGATCGTTGCGCAAACACGTAATAAAAGGTCATTTGCCCCAAGCAATTGAGTGTAAATTAAAACAAGATGAAGCAGGGGTGCAGTGCACAAAGGGAGAATAGTAGGAAAGGAGGTGTGGGGAAGAGAGTAAAAACACATGGGAATACAGATTAATGGTCTTTTCTTTGCCTCTTTGGCCCCTTTGATTTTCTCGCTCTCCTCACCTCTTTCTCTGATTCTGCCAGTTGCATGTGCCAGTAATAGTGTCTGCCCACCCTCTTCTTCCATCAGTCTAACTCCTATTTCTGCCTCAACCACATAGCCAGAGAGAAGAGACAAATACTAATCTGGGAGCAAGGCCATAGTAAGGAACTCTCCAATGGATGCTTACATCCCCACACTGGGGCTTTGTCTACACTGCAAGGTTTTTGCACAAGAAGCTTTTTGCAGAAAAGATCTTCTGCAAAAACTTCTAGTGCAAAAGCACTTCTACACCTCAAAAGCACATTGCAAAAGCGATGTGCTTTTGCACAAGAGAGCGTCCACACTGCATGGACACTCTTGGGCAAGAGCACCTGTGCTTTTTGTGTTAGGCTCTTTTTGCTCAAGAAACTCCTGTTGAGCATACACACACAACTTTTTGTGCGAGAACTCTTGCGCAAAAAGGAGTTATACCTCATAGAAGGAGATATACGTACACCGCAAAACCAAGTAGATTTTCTTGTGCAACAACACGCTTGAGGTATGGACGCTCTGCAGGTTTTTGTGCAAAAACCCTGTAGTGTAGACATAGCCTGGCTGTGTGTTTAAAAAATGAGGGACAAGAATAGAATTGCAATGTGGTGCACAACTCCACCTCAGAAAGGATTAAGAGACAAGGCACAGTGTTATGAAAAGACAATGTCCAAGATGTAACGAGGCCAAAGTTATTAATTTATACTACTACACATTTATATTTACTTGAATAGTTTTGACCATAGAGCTCTGCAGTCTATCAGCAGAGTTTGATATAAACAACCTCGGACAACTTGCAGCATAAGAAAACTTAAAGAACCCGAATTGGCCATGGTATTGTGGAATAACCATTTTAAAGTAAATTAATATCACTTCCCTGACACAGGTAAACATTACATTTAAGAGTGGCTAAAACAGCAGCACACATGAATGAGATGAGTTTCAATGTACTAATTGTGATATTAAGCTGGAACTAGACAAACCTGAAAAAGAGTGGGATGTTACTCAGACATTGCTATATCTTATAATACTTATGTTCAAAGTATTAATTCTTTAATCTTCCATCATCTGTAATTAATTTTAACTAGATTTTACTAAACTTGTGAATTATTATTAAAACCCTTTTTTAATTTAAAAAACAACAAATAGTCTAGTAGCACTTTAAAGACTAACAAAACATGTAGATGGTATCATGAGCTTTTATGGGCAACACACACTAACCCCTCTGAACTTTTTTTAATTAACAGGGAAGATAAGAATTTAATGATGAATCACCATATTTTTCCTTCCTTGGGTCTAAGGGTATTTTTAAAATCTTCACACCATTCCACATTTACATTTCGGTGCTCATCTGCATGATATATGAAAAGCAGGTTACAGTATTTATCCTAATTGATGGATGCAGAATATGCAGCGATCACAAATATAGATCTCACGAACCACTGTAGAAAAACCTAAAGACTGTAAAGGCTGTTGACACCTGACTATTCATGCT